GTGCAGATTTTTTTTTAAAGAAAAAAGTGTTTCATGGCACATGAAGTTTTGTTTTTGTTATCTCTATAATAATAAGAATAATTACCGGGCGCTGGTGGCTCACGCCTGTAATCCTAGCTACTCAGGAGGCTGAGATCTGAGGATCGCGGTTCAAAGCCAGCCAGGGCAGGAGAGATCTTTAGACTCCTATCTCCAATAAACCACCAGAAAACTGGAAGTGGCACTGTAGCTCAAGTGGTAGAGCATTCGCCTTGAGCTGAAGAGCTGAGGGATAGTGCCCAGGCCCAGAGTTCAAGTCCCACGACCGACAAAAAAAAAAAAAATTAGCTGGGCTCCTGTGGCTTATGCTATTCAGGAGGCTAATCCTAGCTATTCAGGAGGCTAAGATCTGAGGATCACCGTTGCAAGACAGCTTGGGCAGGAAAGTCCATGCAATTCTTTTCTTCAGGTAACCTTCAAACGGCTGGAAGTGGAGCTGTGGCTCAGGTGGTGCTATCCTTGAGCAAAAAAGCTCAGGGACAGCGTTGAGATCCTGAGTTCAAACCCTAGGACCAGCACTAATAATAATAATAAATTAAGCCATTTGTTTATAATTGGTTAACAAATACTGACCAAGAACTAAAGAAAACTAAAGAGTATGTCCTTAGATTATTCAAAATCAGTCTGGTAGAAAGTGAGAGATTGGGTATGATTGATATAATTGTGTTTCAGTAAAGACAGCAAAATTCTATGTAGGCTTAACAGTTAAGTTTCCCTTTACTCCTTTCTGTAATCAGTGTGCCCAGCCATCTTACCATAGCCAGTTCTCTTATAAATAAATATATATGCCTAGAGGACCTGGACATTTGAGTACAAACCTGGCATTCATTCATTGGTATCTTTGTAAAGATTGCTATCTTTGTATATAGTAACTGCAAGAATATGATGCAGGGCTGGGAAGGTGGCTCAGCGGTAGAGCGGTTGCCTTGCATGCTCAAGGCCCTGGGTTCGATTCCTCAGCACCACATAAGCAAAAAGAAAAAAGCCGGAAGTGGCGCTGTGGCTCAAGTGGTAGAGCACTAGCCTTGAGCTGAAGAGCTGAGGGACAGCGCCCAGGCCCAGACTTCAGGCCCCACGACCGGACCCAAAAAAAAAAAAAAAGAATATGATGCAGTAACATTTCTACCTTTAAATGTGCAGACCTATGAAGCAGTTTATTTGTTTTAACTCCTACAGTATGTGAATCTTCTAGTTAAGTATCGCATATTGACTCAATGCTTTTATTTATTGTCTCTTATAAGACCCAGTTAAAACAATGGATAAAAAGCAAAGTTTTAAAAATTGCTACAAGGGCAGGGAGATTTCCCTATATATTGAGAGATTAGAGTGTTGGAGAAATGGCACAAATGACATTAAGACATTAAAGAGGGCAAATGTCTATGGGAAGTGAACTAGTTTCCCTTTTAAAAATTCCAGAGGGAGCTGAGTGCTGGTGGCTCACATCTGTAATCTTAGCTTCTCAGGAGGCTGAGATCTGAGGATTGTGGTTCAAAGCCAGCCTGGGCAAGGAAGTCTGAGACTCCTATCTCCAATTACCCACCAGAAAACTGGAAGAGGCACTATGGCTCAAGTGGTAGAATTCTCACCTTGTGCTGAAGAGCTCAGGGATAGCACCCAGGCCCAGAGTTCAAGCCCCACGACTGACTAAAAATAAATAAACCCAGAGGAGGCTGGGAATGTGGCTTAGTGGTAGAGTGCTTGCCTAGTATGCATGATGCCCTGGGTTTGATTCCTCAGTACCACATACACAGAAAAAGCCAGAAGTGGTGCTGTGGCTTAAGTGGTAGAGTGCTAGCCTTGAGCAAAGGAAGTTCAGGGAAAGTGCCCAGACCCTGAGTTCAAGCCCCAGGACTGGCAAAGAAAAAAAATTCCAGAGGCTAAGGATTTAGAAGTACATAATACTGTCCATGTGGGGAGTGGAAGGTGTGCTACCCAAACTGAAAGAAGGGCATTAGTTGGAAATCTGTATAGGAAATATCAAAGGTTCCTCAGGACTCACTCTTCCACCCTATAGAGCCATACAAATAAACCCCCATTTGTGGGGATCAAGAAAAGTTGATCAGGAAAAGTTCACAAAAATACAAAAATCATTAATTCAATGAAAGTCAAATATGCATGAGTCCTTTCCTTTGTCTGCTTTCAGAATAGTTGTAGACTGACTCATAGCTCTCAAAGATTGGAAGAATTTTCTCCAAACTTAATGCTCTGAGGGAAAAAAATTCTTTAGATATCTTGCGCAGTTCCTCATCATCAGTGAAAGCCCAACTTATCTCCTAGTTAGTTGTTTAATACTTTTCTTTGCTAGATAGCAATAGGTCACCAGACACTCAGGGGAGAAAAAGATAAGGGACACATCCAGGTTAAAAAGGAAGAAGTAAACCTATTTTTATTGATTAGCCACATATTTGAGTTTTTATTTAAAAACATTCATAACACCTATAAAACTACAAGAATTAAGCATAGTAACAATATAAGAACAGAATGGAATACTCAAGTTTCTGTGTGCTAGCAGTGACCAATTGAAATTGAATGTGTTTTGTTTTGTTTTGTGTTTGTGCTGGTCCTAGGGCTTAAACTCTGGGCTTGGGCATTATCTCTGAGATTTTTTTTAGTCAAGGCTAGCATTCTACCATATTTTGCCATACCTTCCTCCTCTGGCTTTTTGGTGGTTAATCATCAAAGATAAGAGACTCAAGGATTTTTCTGCCTGGGCTGGCTTTAAACTATTATCCTCAGTCTCAGCTTCCTGAGTAGCTAGGATTATAGATGTGAGCCAACAGTGCCTTTTTGTTGTTGTTGTTGTTCTGTTTTGATTTGTTTGTTTATGGAAACTAGAGTTGAATCCAGGGCCTTGCACATGCTAGACATGTGCTCAGCTACTTGAAAGTAACACCTCAAGCCCTGTTTGATGTAGGTTTAGTTTTCATGATGCTGGGATTGAACCTAGGATTTTGTTCATGCTAGACACAGTATTGCGGAGCTATACCTTCAGCCCCATAACTAAATTTTAAAGCTATCCTTAAAGGAGCATCAAAAATTAGAGTTTCCAAAAGTCTGACAAAAGTGTTAAATTGAACACTGTACACTGATACTACAAAACATTGTTGAAATTAAAGCAAACCTAAATAGCTAGGCTTGGTAGCTCATGCTTGTAATCTCATACATTTGGAGGCAGAGATGAGAAAAGCAGTTTGGAAGCCAATCTGGGCAAAAAGTTAGGAGACACTATCTCAAATAACAAACCTGGCATGTGTACGTGCCTATAATGCTAGCTATTGAGGAAGGAGTGGTAGGAAATTGCTGTCCAAGAACATCCCTGGTCAAAAGCACAAGACTCTGAAAGGTAACTAGAGCAAACAGACTGGGAGCATGTTTCAAGTGGTAGAGCATTTGCCTAGCAAATGTCCTGAGTTCAAATCCCAGTACTTCCTAAAGGGAAAAAAAGGCAAGGTTAATAGATTCACTGTTGTAGATCAGATGACTCAATGTTTAAGAAAAAAAAAATAAAGAAATTAAGCTGAATTTTGGTGACTCTCATACCTATAATCCTAGCTACTTAGGAGGTAGAGAGGGGAAGGATTATGGTTTTAGGCAGCCCTACAGAAAAGTTTAAAGATTCTATCTCAAATATAACTAGCAGAGCTGGGAAGGTGGCTCAGTGGTAGAGCGCTTGCCTTGCATGCCTGAGGCCCTGGGTTTGATTCCTCAGCACCACATAAGCAAAAAGAAAAAAGCCGGAAGTGGTACTGTGGCTTAAGTGGTAGAGCGCTAACCTTGAGCTGAAGAGCTGAGGGACAGCGCCCAGGCCCAGAGTTCAGGCCCCATGACCGGACCCCCCCAAAAATATATATATATATAACTAGCAACAAATAAATGAGGTGTTGCTTAAGTGATAGTGCACTAATTTAGCAAGGGGGAGGGGCCCCAGAATTCAAACACCAGTGCAGCCAAAAATATAAAATAATCAGATAGTCACTTCATTAAATTGAAAATAGGTTCAGTGCAATTCCAGTCACAATCCTAGCAGGCTTTTCAAGAAAGAAGACTTGAACTGTATACTTTGAATGCTTATTATGAAATGATAGTAATCAAGGCAGACTAGTATTATAAAGGTAGAGAAACAGATTGTGAGAGAGCAGAACTGAAATTTTGTGGAGGGGAAAAGGAACTGTTATATTTGAATTTACAAGTAATTTTGACAAATGAGTGACAGAAATACTCAAAAAATTATTCACAAATGGCTTGGACAGTTATTAATTTATTATTTTTTTAATTTAATTTTTTAAAATAAGTTTTTTATTGTGAAAATACTGTACAGAGGGGTTACAGTTACATGAGTAAGGTAATGAGTACATTTCTTATCTAGCATTGTTTTTCCCTACCATCCCTTCCCTCCCACCTCCACAACTACACTTCCCCATCCCCCACCTCCTATTTTTTTTGTTGTTGATTGTGGGACTTAAACTCTGGGCTTGGGCACTGTCCCTGAGGTCATCAGCTCAAGGCAAGCACTCTACCACTTGAGCCACAGTGCCACTTCCAGTTTTCTAGTGGTTGATTGGAGATAAGAGTCTCATAGACTTTTCTGTCCAGGCTGGCTTTGAACCATGATCCTCAGATCTCAGCCTCCTGAGTAGCTAGGATTACAGCTGTGAGCCACTGGCGCCTAGCTTTGGACAGTTTTTACTGTGGCAATTATAAACTACAATAATAATGAGAGTAGATTTACACAAAAAAGAGAAGTGGCTTCTGTAAACTGTGTTGTTACTCTCTGCACCTCTGCTTTATAATAGATGCAGTACTTTTCTTCTATACCCTAAGAATGCTTGCTATCAGCCAGTGTTCTTAGGGGAAATTTCTTTTAGAATAATGTTTCTAATATGTTTTAGGAAAAGTACAAATACAGAATTATAAGTGCCATTATTATCCTTGTTTAGATTCCCCCTTTTATTGCCTTCTAGGAAGTAAAAAGAAAGAAAAGGAACGGCCAGAGATTTCTCCTCCATCTGATTTTGAGCACACCATCCATGTTGGCTTTGATGCCGTTACTGGAGAATTTACTGTAAGTTTTCATAGTTGGGGTTCATTATAACATTATAACATTTATAACATTAAAGCAGCACTCAAGCTGGGTACTTGTAGTTCACATCTGTATCCTAGCTCCTCATGAGGCTGAGATCTGAGGATCATGGTTCAAAGCCAGCCTGGGCAGAAAAGTCTGTGAGACTCTTATCTCCAGTTAAACAACAAAAAGGTAGAAGTGGTGCTGTGGCTCAAGTGGTTGCGTGCTAGCCTTGAGCAAAAGTGTTCAGGGACAGTGCCCAGGCCTTTGAGTTCAAGCCATATGACCAACTAAAAGAAAAACAGTAACATTCAAGCCTTTTCCTTTAGTGTAAGTTTAAAGTTAATTTCTCTGTTCACATGTTGTCAGTCCTTACTGTTGTTTGCTTATCATGAAAGTATTAGTGGTTGGATTTTCTTTTTCTTAGAAAGCTAAATTTTAACTGTAATGATACAAAATAGATGTAGAAAAACAGATACTTAAAAAACTAGACCTGTTAGAATTTTAAGTCAAACCTGCTGGGCATGGTGGTATAATAAACCCAGCATTTGAGAGGCTGAAGCAAATTAGGAGTCAAGGCCACTGCTGCGTACATAGTGATACCTATGTCAGACTGATAACCTTATGTCAAAAAAAATTAACTAAAATTATGTTTATTTAATTAGTTAGTTAGTTAGTTGGTTGGTTGTGGGGCTTGCACTCGGAGTCTAGGCGCTATCCCTCAGCTCTTCAGCTCAAGGCTAGTGCTCTACCCACTTGAGCCACAGTGCCAGTTCCAGTTTTCTGAGTGGTTTATTGGAGATAACAGTCTCATGGACTTTCCTGCCTGGGCTGGTTCAAATTGCAATCCTCAGATCTCAGCTTCCTGAGTAGCTAGGATTACAGGTGTGAGCCACTGGTACCCAGTGAATTACGTTTATGTATTTTTTTTATCATTTGTCTCTGAAAATTGACTTCATTAGAGCAATTCAAACCACAGCTGAGTTCCTTGGAAGTCAGGGTTTTATGTTTGCTAGACACATGTGCTATTTATTTGCTATTGCTTTTTTCCTCTGCTTACTTTTGAGATAGAGAGTTTGCCTATTTACACATTCCATTCTTGACCAAGTTGACCGCTGCCTGGTTGCCTTTGTTTGTTTGTTTGGGTTTTTTTTTTTCTCCATTAAGGTTAAGTCTTACTAACTTTTAGCCTGGATGGGCCTGGAACTAATTCTTCTAATCTAAATCTTTTAATCACTGTTCCCAGCTATTGATAAAGATGGGGTATTAGGAACTTTCTTGCCCAGCTGGCCTCTTTACTATATGCTCCTAGTTGCTACCTCCCACGTAGCTAGGATTAATAGCATAAGCCATTGGCGCCTGCCTCAAATCACAACTAACTTCTGAATTTCTTTTTATTAGGGCATGCCAGAACAGTGGGCTCGGTTGTTACAGACTTCCAATATCACGAAATTAGAGCAAAAGAAGAATCCTCAGGCTGTGCTGGATGTCTTAAAGTTCTATGACTCTAACACAGTGAAGCAGAAATATCTGAGTTTTACTCCTCCTGGTAAGAAAGATGACAGTGGTAAAAAGCTGAACATGGACAGTCATGAAGCACTGCTGGATAAAAAAGATTACTTCTGGAAAATGAAAGGCTATATACTGTAATTCTTCCACATATTTTCCTACTGCAGAGATTCTGCCTTTGTAAATTTATGGGGGTTAAGCATAATTGGGGATCTGAGGATTATATTAATCTCACAATTTTACCAGGGGTGGATATTTAGGCTGTTGTTTCGTATGGTCTTTTCTTGCTTAATTGCTTTTCAGTGACTTCCCAATAGAAGGGAAAAAATGTTAATATTTAGATGTGTTCATACTAGAGATAGGTTGTTCGCTAATGAGATAGGATGAAAGTTGTTTCACTATTTTAAAAAAAAGCACAAACTTTGAAGTAAAAAAAAAGTTTCTACTCAAAAAGTGAAACTCATCAAATATGTAAGTGTAGAAAATATGAGTCATAACTAAGTGGATTTATACCTTAAAATTGAAGATCACTGGATAAGAATTGGAATGTATTAAACTCTTGAAAATAGCTTGTTTAGGGTTAGGAAGGCAGTTCAGTGGTAGAGTGCTTGACTCCCATGCATGAGGCCCTGGGTTTAATTCTTCAGCACCACATAAGCAAAAAAAGCCAGAAGTGACGCTGTGGCTGAAGTGGTAGAGCCTAGCCTTGAGCTGAAAAGCTGAGACCCAGCGCCCAAGCCCAGAGTTGAGGCCCCACAACCAACCAACCAACCAACAAAAAATAGCTTGTTTAGGATGGGAATCAAACCTACACATAGCTTAAGTGAAGTCTTAGGTGTATTCAGATTCAAGCTTTCCTCCTTACTCTGGAAAACATCATCATTTATCCTGTTTCCCTTAATAGGAATTTTGCTAATTACACCCCAAATGTCAGTTAATATGTTTTTCTATACCTGGGGTCATATGTGTAGTTATTTTAAAATAAGATATGTATTATGTTATACTTTATATATACACAGAAATTATACTTTATATATACACAGAAAAAAAGACTTTGCTCAAGGAGTATAGAGGCCTTTTTACCAGGTTCTCTTGACTTTTTTTTTTTTTTTTGGTCAGTTCGAGGGCTTGAACTCTGGGCTTGGGCACTGTCCCTGAACTTTTCAGCTCAAGGCAAGTGCCCTACCACTTTTGAGCCACAATGCCATTTTTTATTTTAATCTGATAGTCTCAGGAAAAAGTCAGACTTGTCCATACAACATTTTGGTCAACTAGTCTATGTAAGTACAGTTTTCTTTCTTTTTTGTTCTGATTTTTGTTTTTTGCCAGTCCTGGGGCTTAAACTCAAGGCCTGGCACTGTCCCTGAACTACTTTGGCTGAAGGCTAGCACTCTACCACTTGAGCCACAGTGCTACTTTCAGCTATTTCTGTTCATGTGACAGGCTTGAGCCATGGGCTCTAGGCTAGGAAAGTCTGTGAGATTCTTATTTTAAATAAACTACTCAGAAAAAAAACCTTGAAATGTCACTCTGCCTCAAAGTGGTAGACGCGGTAGCCTTGAGCAAAGAAGCCTAGGGACAACCAGGCATTGTAATCCTAGCCACTCAGGAGGCTGAGATTTGAGGATTGTGGTTCAAGCCGGCTCAGGCAGTAAAGTCCATGAGATTCTTCCAGTTAACTAACAGAAAGTGATGCTGTGACTCAAAGTGGTAGAGCACTAGCCTTGAGCTAAAGACCTCAAGGATAGTGCTCAAGTCCAGAGTTCAAGTCCCATCCATGACAAACCAAGAAAAAAATAAAAGCTTAGGGACAGTGCCAAGGCCTAGGACTGGCCAAAAAAAAAAAGTATATACACACATAATTTCGAGGCATTTCAAAAAGAAAATCTTAAATTTAAGAATTTTATTTTATACAGTCGCCATTATTTGAATAGTAGTGCTATATTCCTTGGTACAGTTTTATGGAGAACGTCTTGAACAGTAAAGTTTATTTTAATGGATACAGATTGATAGGCGTAGTTTCAATTAAAATTTTAGTTTGACAGGTATAGTTTCAATTAAAATTTTAGTTTACTGCACATAGTTTACATAGAATAAAATTCACCCATTTATATGAATCATTTGCTCAGTCTCAAATTCTTTCTTATATTGGCATTATCATTTTTCTGCTGAACAAACCATGGAAACATACTGAATATGTGATTTTATTAGCTATCACTCTTCTTACTGAGCCTGGCTGTTAAGTGCTCCAATGATTTTTAATAAATTTTTGAGATTTCACTAAGAATTGAGTTTTTAGCTTGAGTTCTTTAAGCTAAAGATTACTGTTTGAATACTAGTATTTTCATGTTTTTCAATAGGTAATTTAAACTGAAATCAACACTTCATTGCTCTTCTTTGTTGTTGTTGTTGTTGTTGATTTTTTTATGCTTGCTCTCATGAATACTCACATTCTTTTCTGCTCCAAATTTAGAGAAAGATGGCTTCCCTTCAGGAACACCAGCAGTAAGTTAATTATTTCTTGTAACTTTTGTTCTAATTTAGGGTACCCAAACCAAATATCAGTTTTTATTTTGATGTCTAAAGTAAATTCAGTCATACAGATAAATAAATACTTGATATGTTTTAATGTAGTCATTTGATTAATTGAAGAAGCCTTATTAAGGAAATAGAAGTTCCTTTATAGGGTATTTAAAGTAATGTAAATTTATGTTATCCAGAGCAGTTTTAACTGCCTTCAGTAATGTTTCTGTATATAAACATGGTTACAAAAACTTGCCAGCATATTCTTTCCTCCCACCTACCACTTCTTCTATTACCATTCTACTAAATAGACTATAGAAACACCAGCTGGGTGCTGGTGGCTCATGTCTGTAATCCTAGCTACTTGAGAAGCTGAGATCTGAGGGTGGAGGTTTGAAGCCAGCTGGGGCAGGAAAGTCCATGATATCCTCATCTCCAATAAACTACTTAAAAAAGGCTGGAAGTGGTAGAGCCCTAGTCTTCAGCAGAAGCAGCTCCAGGACAGCACCCAGGCCCTGAGTTCAAACCCTAGGACTGGCAAAACAAAAAAAGTAATTTTTTTTTTTTTGGTTGGTCGTGGGGCTTGAACTCTGGGCCTGGGCGCTGTCCCTCAGCTCTTCAGCTCAAGGTGAGCGCTCTACCACTTGAGCTATAGCGCCACTTCTGGTTTTCTGGTGGTTTATTGGAGATAGGAGTCTCACGGTCTCTCTTGCCCGGGCTGGCTTTGAAC